CAATTTAGTACTGCTTTGACCTTCTCCGGGTCCATTTCAATGCCCTGTGGGGATATGCGATAGCCTAGGTAGTCTATCCTTTCCTGGTGGAATTCGCATTTTGAGAGTTGGCATATAGGTGAGCGGCTCGCAGCTTCTTTAAAACCGCTCTGACAAGTTTGACGTGTTCTTCTTTTGTTTCAGTAAAGATAAGAATGTCGTCCAAGTAAACAAGGACCCCCTTAAACAGGTGTTCCCTTAGAACGTCATTGATTAGTTGCATAAAGACTGCAGGGCCCCCTTGTAATCCAAATGGCAAGACTTTGAAGTGATAGCACCCCATGGGGCAGTTAAATGCAGTCTTCCATTCGTCCCCTTCCTTGATTCTCACGCGATAGTAAGCTTCCCTTAAGTCTAGTTTAGAAAAAATTTTCCCTTTCGATAGGTGTGACAGCATGTCTTTCATGAGGGGCAGCGGGTATAGGTTGCTTTCACTGATTGTGTTCAGGGCCCTATAATCCACGCATAAACGTAAAGAGCCATCCTTCTTCTCTCTAAAAAGGACCGGGGCAGCCACTTTAGGCTTAGCTGGTTCAATGAAACCTCTCTCCAGGTTTTTTTTTATAAATCTTTCCATTTCCTCCTTCTCCTTTGGGCTCATGGAGTATAATCTGGGTTTCGGGAGTTTTGCCCCAGGCTTGAATTCAATGGTACAGTCTGTGGGTCGGTGGGGGGGAAGCTCATTCGCCCTCTCCTCACTGAAGACTTCAGCAAGGTCCCTATATTCCTCTGGTATTTCTGTTAATCTTTTTTCCTCTCCTATGGATGCTTTTTCTATTCTTGATTCTGGTAGCCTCTCTTGGGGTTTTAAGTCCATAGGGTCCCCCTTCGGGAATTTGATTTCTGTCGTCCTCCAATTTACCCAGGGGTTCCATTTTTTCAACCATTCCATCCCTAGAATCATTGGGCATTCCATACCTGGGGTCACCACAAACGTTAAGTCCTCTTCATGGTTGCCCAGGGAGAGGTGTATTGGCAGAGTGGCTAGGGTAGCTGGCACCCCCCCTGCTATGGATCCATCTAGCTGGCCAAATGAGATTGGTTGTTCCAGTCTCCTGGATGGGATGCCCAGATTCCCCACTAGTGTTGGGCTAATGAGGCAGCGGGTGCAGCCAGAGTCTATTAAGGCTTTCACCTTCACAGCTTCGGGCATGGGGGGGATTAATATAGTCACTGTTTTGAAGATGGGTGTGATGCGTCCACTTACCAGGGGTTCGCCTTCCGAGCTGTCATCTGAGGCATCCACCGTCCCTGTGGTGTAGGCTGGAGTTCTTTCCCCTTGGTGAGCAGAGGTGGGGTTTTCTGCAATTTCCATCATTTTCATGGCTGTTTCTTTTGGCTTAGCTGAATACCCTCTGGGTTTGTTGATTGGGGATCTGTCTGGGTTGTGCTGGGGGGCCTTTGAGCGGCATTCTACAGCTCGATGCCCTTCTCTTCCGCACTTGAAACACCCCATCTGCTTCTTGGCTGTATCCGATGATTTCACCGGTTGGTGTGTCAGCTCAGGCGGGGGGCGGCTCCATTGTTTTCCTCGGCGATGCCTCTTCAATATGTCGATCTCTGCTTCCTCTGCCAAGACGTACCATTCCTCAAGTCGATGTGGGTCTCCTCGGGGCAGGCAAGCATCATATAGATCATAGTTTAGTCCGTCTTTGAAACGGCCAAGGAGGATGTCTTCTGGCCAATTCAGTTTGCTGGCAATGGCTCGGAATTCTTGTGTATACTCAGCCACTGGGCGTTTGCCCTGCCTCATCGTTGTTATTCTTTCACGGGCTTTGCGATCAGCCAGGGGGTCTTCAAATCGTCTTCTCAACGAGGACATGAAACGGTTGAAGTTACTGAGTTCTGGGGCATTGGAGTCATGCAGGTTCACCACCCAATCTGCAGCTGGTCCATCCAGGGCAGATTGCACGATCCGGATGCGGGCTTTGTCGCTGGGGATGTCCTGCCCATATTCCTCCATGTAGCTGAGGACTTGGGTTAGGAAAAACCCCAAGCGTGTTGGCTCCCCTTTGAATTTCACCTCCAACGGTGGGCGTCTTGGAATGGATCGGTGCCTCCATTGTGGGTGGTAGTGTCTTCCGTCCAGATTTCCATCTTGGGTCCGGTAGGGGGTGGGAGCTCCTGGATCAGTAAATGTCCCTGGGGTTGCAGGTTCCACGTCCCCCTCGGTGTCTCTCCCTTTGTGGCTCCAGGAACTGGGGCGGGCGTAGGGCTCAGGAATCTCCTCTCCTAGGGAGCTGAGAGTTCTCTTCATCAGGTCAATAGCTTTCTCTAGGATCCAGTCTGAGTACGGCATACAGCTTCCTCCCTCTTCACTTGCGTGCAGGGATTTCTCCATCTCCTGCTTCCATTCTGGTTGCTTGGTCCCCCGTCTCAGGGTCACTTTTCTTGATTCCTTTCCCCACTCGCTTTTCTTTCCAACGCCCATCGACCAGTGAGGCTTGTGGTCCTGTGTCTCCACCACTTCTTCTTCTGAGAAATCTGGCCTCTCGGATCCCAACATCTGGCAAGGTTCCAACTGGGTCAGCGGCTCTCTTTCCAGGGAGTTTTCTCCCTCTCTTGCTTCGTTGTCTGACATGGTAAATTTTTGCAAAATCCCCCGGCAAGGGTCTACCTTCCAGGTGGATTAATTTTGCAAGTCCTGTCTAATGTAAGGACCCACCCCACTTTGCATCTTAAGAAGACAGAACTCTTGGAATAGTTCTTCCAACAGGAATCCTTTATTAAGAGAAAATGGTTGCAGGCATGCTAGACAGGACTTGGGGTCCAAGCTCTCCCATTCAAGGTTTTAAGGGGTTCCCCAGTAGTCCCACCCAATCAACCCCCCTTCCCAGTGATAGTTTCAAGTATCACAATTCCACCCCGTTTCTTCTTTCTTCCGTCTGGATGGAGACTTCAGATAACTACATGAAAGGCAAATACTCTTCTTTGTTAATGCTAATGTTCTCTGGTGTTAACGCTTTGAGGTTACAATAGGTTACAATAAACACACATTCAGCATTCAGCTCTTTGAAGTCTACTGAAGTAAGTGAGGGCCATAAAGCCCTTTTGTTCTCCCCCTTCTCTCCCTCTTATGGCAGAATCCAAAGAAGGCAGAATTGGGAGTTTCTATATTTGATAATTAAAGATGAAATATGATTGGATTCTGACAACCCCCAAGGTTCCTTCCAGCTCTATTCTGATTGATTAATTGAAGTTCTTGTATCTCTAAATCTTGTTATTCCACCCATTTTGAAGGGGGCATGCCTTATTTTGATCTCTCCCTTCTCGTTAGCTCCCCCAAAACCCTAGAGGGTGATGCTGCTCAAAATTACAGCTCTACACTGGAAAAATCACACGATTGGTACATGTTTTTCTTAGCATAGAATGATTACAAAGGAGAGAGAAGTGAGTCTTCATAAAGAGAAAAACACTAAAGTAAAATTATATCTACTTGCAAAGAGTATTCAGCCAGAGCTGTACTAATTGTTACAAAAATGAGAGAAAATGTAAGGATTATTTGATTATGGCAAAATAGGAATGATTACTGAAATAAAGCCTAGGTTCACACATCACACTAAGCCACAATGTAGTGTGTTTGATTTTTGTTTGGTGTAAACCCACCCCTTACAGTTTAAACCTCATGGTGTTAGAGGATTATTATGTGTTGCTATGTTGGTGTCAACTCTTAGTGATCAGGTAGAATTTTTCCCAGCAGGATAATCCTTCAGGTCTTCCAAAGGTGCACCACCATAACTGAGTCCATTCACCTTGTTGCTGATCATCCTCTTCTTCTCTTTCCTTCCACTTTTCCCAGCATTAAGGCCTTCTCCAGAGCTAGGCCTTTTAATAATGTGACCAAAGTATGATAAATCTAATGCTTGACATTTGTGCCTCAAGAGAGAACACTGGGGCTATTTGTTCAATGATCCATTTGTTTGTTCTCTTGGCTATCCATGGTACACTTTGAGTTTCAAAAAATGAGATGACTGATGATGATTATTTTGCTTTGGAAATAAGATCAGTTCAGTGCACTGGAATGGATAGGTGGCTATCCATCTACCAGCCACGATAGCCACGATAGATCAAGGGGAACTCTCTCTGATCTCTATTCCTATAGAACAAACATGTCAAACTCGCGACGTCATCTGACATCGCGCCACGTATCCGGATGGTTTTGCCATTGCTGGCAATGAGGTGGGTGCGGCTTCCGGATGACGCATCCGGCCCACGGGACGGCAGTTTGACACCCCTGCTATAGAAGAATTGGAGACCAGAATTTCCATGTTGCATACTGTTTGTAATTTACTGCGAAGGGTGGAAACTAATAAAGGAGAGAAGCAACCTGGAACTAAGGAGAAACTTCCTGACAGTGAGAACAATTAATCAGTGGAACAGCCTGCCTCCAGAAGCAGTAAATGCTCCAACACTGGAAGTTTTTAAGAAGAGACTGGACAGCCATTTGTCCGAAATGATGTAGGACTTCCTGCCTGAGCAGGGGGTTGGACTAGAGGACCTCCGAGGTCCCTTCCAACTTTACTACTATTACTATTACTATTGGCCTTGTTGAGGTATTGATCTGACCTAACAAATCTCTATGCCCTTAAGAAATCATAAAGAACAAACTATGCACCTGCCAACTAAATGGGGGGGGGCAGTAACACCTCCTGCTCCACATAGATTCAGGGATTGACGTATAAGATCTTTCAACAATGAAGCTCCAGCCCACAAGATTCCTTTGGAGAAGCATGGCTTTCGGTATTTGACTTGCTACTATGGCCAGGAAAAGAAAATGGACATTAACATTGCAATAATCAAAGAGTTGAGAAATGAATGGTGGAAAAACACATGACAATGTCTGTACAAAGGAAACAACTGCATGCACGAGGTAGCTTCTACATTGGGCTACTTAAGCCCAATGTATCCTTTTAAAAGCATATGCTGCTGCTTCTTAAAAGAAATATCTATGAACTACAAAATGGATTATATACAAATATTTATTAAACCTTATTCCTATTTTCCCAGCAAGCTGGGTTGCACTAAAAGAGAGTGATTGATCACCCAGGCTAAGGAGAACCAGAACTCATGGCCTCCCAGTTGTTAATCCAGCACCTCAGCCAGTATACTGAAACAATTTATAACTTTTGGGTGATGGGAATTACTCTACCCTTTAAAAAGTAAAAATTTACAGACCTTCTTGGTAGAAAGTAAAAAAAGTAGGTTTCCCCAGTTCCAGCCTGGGGAATTTCACAGCTGCTGGGCTATAGTCACAAAGGCCCTTTTTCTAGCACCTTATGAAAAAGTCTGATTAGACATCTTTGAAGAAAGGACCCGTCATCCAGCACAAACAGCAACTCCATATTCTGGAGATATGCTAAAGATCAGAAGTGACCTCAGAAGCCTCTCGGCAAGAGAGTCTTGAAGACCTTGGAGACTGGATCAGGTCACTGTAGTCTCTGGCTTAAATTCATTGCCCTGTTCGTTTTAAGCAGATCAAAGGATATTAAGAGACATTTCAGTCATTTCATCCAGAGGCACCGTAGGAGCTTCAAAAGCCCAAGGAATGATCCTTCCGAGAGAAATTGGATCTGCAGCTGGATCAGAAGTAGCAGCTGAGCAAATGACCCCAAAAGGATCATGTCTCCCTTTCTCTGAGTCCAGAAAATGGAGAATTGTTTCTTTCCTGCTCAATCCAATTCAGAATTTCCTCTTGAGTAGGAAGAGATCGTTTTTCATAACCAGAAATCACCATGGCATTTGGTCTTGCTAGTGGTGGAGATGGCTCAGGGATTTGTTCTAATATCTCAGCAATGTCCATAATTTCTGGCAACTGGGTAGAACACTTGATCAGGACATCCTGGAAAAAATGCAGCAAAGTCATAGGAAGCCCTAACTCAAACTTAGCCAATGAACCTACTATAGGGAGACAGCAAAGCCCATTCAGGATGTCAAAACATAGCCTCTAACCTTAAATATCTGACTCCCATTTTTCAGATTTCCAAGCTCCTTAACTTCACCAAACTTGGCATTGTTTATAAGCCAGCCAGCTTTTGGGACCACCCTTTTCAGAGTTCTCCATAAATGGCAGAAATACTGGATGAAAGGAACATGTTTTTCCACCATTTCTGCTAGGATAAGTAACTTCCTCCCTCCGCCCCCAACAAGCTATGGATCTATCCTTTCTCTTATCTATGGAAAAGGGAAATCTTTATCCTGTTCTTTGCAACAGCTTTCCTCAATTTAGTTCCCTTCAGATGTGCTAGACTGCAATTTCCAATAATCCCAAATATTCTCACACGTGAATGATGGGAATTGTAATCTAATGCAAATCTGAAGGTACTGGGGTTACTGATTGATAATTCTTACATAATTAAGAAAAGTTTCCAATTGTGAGAATACATTTGCAAATTCAGTTGTGAGCACATTTTGGGGGTGTAGCTATAGATCGGCACTGAAACTCAAAAATATGGCAAATAAAAAGAAACAAAGGCAAGAAAACCAAATATCTTTAGCACAATGTACAGGCATGGTATTCTGCTTTGACCAGCCATTCATAGTAATCCTACACAGAAGATGAATGGAATACAATTTTAAAATGTAAATAAAGTAATGCTTTGGTCAAATGCACAGAGTAGTTGGCCTGGACTTTATGTCCATCCAGTGACTACTTAAACAACCTACATCTGCAACCTTTAGTTTAGGGTTTTAGCTTTAGTTCTTTTTAGGGCTATCTAGAAAGAGAAGCAGATGAATCTCCAAGATCTCAGTAGAAGACAACAGAGTACTTCCTCTTTAGTACACCCTGCAAATGCCACGTAATTCCTGCAATGTTGTAAAAAATCCAATTGCTTCTTACCATGGCCGGCGCAGTGCTCTCTTCATTCATCTCCACAGCAATCCCACTGTGTTTTGCATCTGGAATTTTCTCCCAACACCACCGAGGCAGGACCTTATGGCAGAAGCTCAGTAGCCTACAAAACAGAGATGTCAGAGGTTGCTTTGCCCAGGATTCAAATTAGCACTTAAGGCAAACCAGTAAAAGAACTTAGTTGACCCATCCACACAGATGTTATGCCTGCATCTCTGCCTTTCCTCACTTACCTTCTATATTTAAGCAGCACCATAATGGACCCCATTGTAATCAGGATGACCACAAGTGAGAAAACTATCACAATGCTCTGCCAATGAGAAACTGCAAAAGATTTAAGGACAACACTGTGATTTATTTTGTATCAAATGTATACGTTGTCAATTCCATTCCATCTCAAGGATGCTTACATGCCAAAATTCACAATTTCCATGGTACAAGATAAAAACGTCAATTGTAAAACAACCTCTGAAAAAATATAAACAAGAATAATATTAAAACGTTTATTGTAAATAGCTCTAACTTGTCATTCACTCACCATACTCAATCCTTGCTACCCCAATACCATAAGAGTATGAACTACTTTTAATTTTTTTCCACAAGGAGGTCTGAGCAATCTTAACTCTAATGGGACAAAGTAAAAGGAATACACTTCAAAAAATTTGCCTCAGTTCCTTCAGTGACGATGATCCATTAAAAGTACGCAGTCACACTTGCAAATGATGAGAATTGTAATCTAATGCAAATCTGGAGGTGCAATGGTATGATCCATCCCAGAAGTATGCAGATACAGGTAGTCCTCATTTAACAACAATAATTGGGCCTGGTGTCTATCACAAAGTGATGCAGTCATAAAGCTTGATGTCATGAGATTCCATCACTTAGCTACACAATCCCAGCACTCTCCATTGTCATCATTAAGTAAAGACCTTACATGACTGCAACGTGGAAAGAATCCAGAACTATTTGCTTATACCGCTGAAATCACATCCCAAGGAAGCAGGTGAAAGATACAGATAAGTGGATTGGCACTGTAAAATATGGGCAGGTGGGTGCTGCGGCTAAGTGCTATGGAATATAGGCAGATGGGTGCTATGGAGTATGAATTGTGGGCAATATAGAGTATAGTGTTCAGGTCTCATGGCCAAGTGTGTGCTGTGGGTGAATATTGTAGAGTAAAAGTGGGTGGGCTGTACAGAGTATGGGCAGGCACTACAGAGTATGAGTGAGCATAGGTGGGTGGGTGCTGCAGCTGGGCACTATGGAGTATAGGCAAGTGGGTGCACTATGAAATATGGGTGGGTGGTGCTACAGAGTATGAGATCCCTATGCCACCAGAGGGATCTTGGGGAGAAAAAAATGGCAGGAGCCAGAGCAACTTGCAGGAGCAACTTGCAACCTTCTACTGGCTTCCCCATTGATTTTGCTTGTGGGAAGATGGCAGGGAAGCCACAAATGGTAATAACATGGTCACAGGACACTGCAAACAATGTAATTGTGAGCCAATTGATGAGCATCCAAATCATGATCATGTGATCACGGGGATACTATGATGGCTGCAACTTTGAGAACTGGTTCTAAGTTCCCCATATTCACCATAACTGCATGCTCGCTGAATGAGTGGTTATTAAGTGTGGACTTCCTGTACCCAAAACTCTTTACAGGTAGTTCTCAACTTATGACAGCAATTGGGACTGGAATTTCCATCACTATGTGATGTGGTCATAAATCACTTAGTGACAGCAATCCCTGCAGTCCCAGTTGCCATTGTTAAGCAAATCCCACAGTCATTAGGCAACATAACTTCCTGCCACCTTCCCAGAACTCAAGTCAGTGGGGAATCCAGCAGGTTGCAAGTCCAAGGCCAGGAGGCTGCTGCCAGGTATGTGTGTGGGGGGAAGCAAGGCAGTGTGCAAGGGTGTTGGGGAGGGTCAAGGAGGGTACACAAGGATATGAGGGTTGAGGAGGGTGCACAAGGATGTGAAGGGATGGATGCCTATGAGGTGAGGGTGTGCAAGGGTGCAACTAGGTCGAGGAGAGTGAGTGAGGGTATGAGGGAACGAGCGTGAAATGTGCATAAATGGAGGATAAATGAGGGTGTGGCATGATTAGGGAGAGGTAAGGGGGAGTGGTATAGGTTAAGTACACCGGAGTGCCGCAGAAGTTGGGGAAGGTGTACTAGAGCGCAGAGAGGTGCACAAGTGGCTGGTACAGTGCAAGCACAAGAGAGGGTGGTGGAGGGTGGAGGAGACTTACCTCAGTGACTTGCGAACCTCCCTGCCGGCTTCCCCACTGACTTTCTGGGGAAGCCGGCAGGGGAAGTTGCATATAGTGAACATGTGATCACAGGGTGCTGCAATTAGTCATAAGTGTGAACTGTTGCCAAGTACCCAAATTGTGGTCATATGACCACACAGATGCTGGGACGGCTGGAACAACAAGGAGCAAGCCCAGTGCCCTGATAACTTTGAATAGTCACTAAATAAGTAGTTGTAATTTGATAGCCAGAAGGTATCAAAATCCTTAGAGCAGTTTTTGTGCTAAAGTGATTGATTTCACAGCTAATTTTATCATGATCTTTCTTGCTCCTATAGTTAGCATAATATCTCCTGTTAATATACCAGTTTGGTTTAAGGAACAAAGCTTCTTGCAGTCCCTCTTACCTGATGTACTGAAGTGATGCACGGCACTGGCTGCACCCTCTCCAGCCGATGTAGAGCCAGTCATCCAGACCTGGTAGGTTGTTCCTGGCTCCAGATCTGAGAGAGTGTAATTTCTTTCCGTAGCACTAACTGTAATGTAAAAAAAACAAAATAAAAAAAAATCTATCCTAGGCAGATGGTAATCAGGACCCATCATCCAGAATTCACTGGTGGAGGATAACCATGTCTTGCTTAACTAGCAGTTTTACACCAGACAAGAAAAGAATACATTGTGTTTATACTTTACAGATAGAAAGAGGAATCCCACATATTTTTTCACAAAGAGATGTCTTGGCTTTTGGAAAAGAATGCCTTACAATGCACATTTAATATAAGGCATAAGGAGATCAAGATCTCTGCATTCTTCTCCCCCACAAATATGTGTTAACTGTTACTGTTTTCTTAGGTTGCCACACATTGAAATGTACAGGTAGCCCTCAACACAGGATGGCAATTGAGACTGGAATTTCCATCACTAAGCAATGCGGTCATAAAGGCAACCACATCAGTTAGGGACAGCAATCCCTGCAGACCTGGCTGCTGTTGTTAACTGAATCCCATGGTGGTTAGGCGAGGCAACTTCCTGCAAGCTTCCCACAACCAAGTCAGTGGGGAAGTCGGAAGGAAGTTGCAAGGCCCAGATGATTTACCAGCAGGCAGGGAAGTTAATTTTAATGTTAGGTTTTACATTTTTTTTATCAGTTATAATATGTTGTACACTGTGTCCAGAGACCCTCTTTGAGGAAGATGAACAGTTTAAAAATAAGAAATATAAATAAATATAAATAGATGCTGCAGGGCAGAGGAGTGCAAGGGGGGGTGTAAAAGTGCAAAGGAGGTGTGGCAAGGCTCAGGAAGGATATGCCAGAATGCAAGAGGGGAACGAAAAGAGTTGGAGAAGATGTGAAGTAATGTACAAGGGCAGGAAGAGGATAGAGCAAGGGTGTGTGAGTGACCTGGTGAGGGTTAGGGAGGAGCACAAGTGTGCAGGAGTGGGAGGGAGGCACGGCAAGAGCCAGGGAGGATGTGCAAGGATGAATGAAGGTGTAAAAGAGGCACAGCAAGGGTCGAGGAGGGTGTGCAGGAGTAGCTGGTGTGGCACAAGGACAGAAGGGCTGGAACAGAGTGTGCAGATGGGGGAGACTTATCCCAGTGACTTGCAACCTTCCCTGCTGGTTCCCCATTGACTTTCTGGAGGAGCCATTAGGGAAGGTCGCAAATAGTGATCCTGTGATAGCAGTATGCTTCAACTGCAACAGTAACTAAGTATGAGCCTGTAGGCAAATACCCAGATCATAATCATGTGGCTGCAGGCTGCTGGGGTAGCAGGAACTCCAAGGACCAGTCACAACCACCATTTGTTTGAAAGACTGCTGAACAAATAGTTGTAAACTGAGGATTACCTGTATGGATTGTATCAACTGGAAATCTGTTTGTAATTTTGGGGGTCTAATGAAGGGATTTGGGTTTGTTTTCCACATAAAAGATGTGCTGCAGAGCTAAAAACCACTCCTTCTCATACCTTTCTATACTCTCCCATATAAGGGGATTTTGCTCCTAGGTTTCCAGATATACTATTTTAGGCTGCAAAGGAAGAGCCAAACAAGGAGGAACGTATCCAGCCACATGTGCTTTTTACTTAAAGAGCCAGACTTCCCCCCCCCCTCCTTTGTTATATAAAGAGAGTAGATAAATATGATTTCTCTTGTTATGACTATTTGTTCCCCAAAAGCTATACAACAAATTTCTGGACCCACAAATCTTCCCTAAATGAGCTTTCCAGAGAAAAGCTGTAGATATCACCTAATGTCAAACTAATGCCCTTGAGAAGTGATGAATTATCTCCATTTAATATGGGACTGACAGGAATAATCCAATCTGAAAGAAATCAGAGGAGAGAGCTGATGCAGAGCATTGTAATTAAGAGAGGCCATTTTAGGAGGACACAATGCCTTCCTCCTCAATTATCTTTAGGCTTAGAATCTCACTCACTGGGCTTGTGAACCATAAGGCTGTCTGAACGGAGATGTTTCAGGTAAAGTTTATAGTGTATGATATGCCCATTGCGGTCTGCCAAGGGAATCTCCTCCCAAGAGATGGAAGTGGCAGTGGATGAGAGTCTTTCGTCTTGCAGTCCTTGGGGACCAGCTGATGGTACTGGAAAAGCAAAAGAGGAAACAGAGGCTGTGAACTGGTTCAGTAGGTGGGCAAAGCGTACAGTTCATCTCATTGCTGTAACAAGGACACATTGCATTACTTACCACACTACAGAAGATAAACCAAAAGTCAAGTTCCATAGGCCAACAGATCCAAAGGAGACCATCAGTTTATGAACACCAGAGGAAATGTTTCTATACTAAGAAATGTTTAAAGATCATACATCCAAGGTAGTATTCAAGAAGAAAATGGTCACCATTTAAACATTTATTGTAATTTGTCTCTGGAAACTGACATACAGTTCTCCCAGTATAGTAAAAGTTCTATATAATGGATACAACCTTCTTTTCCAGTATGGCACTCATAAAACAACTTCCCTCCAGAAGCTAGGTAAACTCTGAAAGTGATGGCCTTCTGAAAGGAAATGACCAAATTCTTCCAATGATTGTGCAACAGCTGAAATCCCTTAAAGCAGGTAGTCCTTGCTTAATAGTCAGTGACTATTTGAAGTTAGGACAGTGCTGAAAAAGAAGACTTACAATTGGTCCCTGAAGTTCTGGCCATTGTAGCACCCCCCCCAACAAGGTCACATGATCACGTTCCGGGCATTTGGCAACTGGTTCACTCTTATGAGGTTACAGTAATGTGACCACCATTTGCAACCTTCCCTGCCAGCTTCCCATAGGCAAAATCAATGGAGGTTACTCTGGTAAGCTGTTTGCCAAGCACCTAGAACGCGATCATGAGACTGCGGGAGGGGAAGCAGTTGGAATTTTGAAACCAGGTCATAAGAAGCTCTGGGGACCTCTGTTACAAATTTGAATGGTCACTAAGCAATTGGTTATAACTCAAGGACTACCTGTACCAACTGTTTAACCTTAAGTCTCTCAATGCCTAAGTTCTCTATCTTAAATAATTGAAGCCCTATCTCTTTTGTACCTGTGTCAACATTGGTCACACATACAAAGGGGCAGAGCATCAATCACATAGACATGGCTGCCATCTTGACTTTTTTTAATACACCTCCTCTCCCCTGCTTCCAATAACCTTCAGTGGTATTTTCTCTTGGGAAAAAAGAAAAAGAAAACAAAAAAAGCTAAGGGAAGAAACCTAAGCAAATCTGTTCTAAGACTGTTACTTACTTAGCTAAAAAAATTTAAAGCAGTATCTTTCTACCACCTCTGCAAAAAAGCCTTGTTGATAGGCTGTGGTTTTCTGCCTGCTGTTTCCTGTCCTTTGGAGGTGGGCCTCTGCTATTGTGGCATGGATCTGGCAGAACAACCTGATCTATAGAGTATAAAAGGGCAACGCTTGCATGTTTCCAAGCCCTCTCTAAAAAACATCTTTTTATACTAAGCAGCTGCAGCCATTAACACTCACCAATACTGTTTTTTAAAACAGTTTTTATAGCACTGTTTTCACACTACTATTGTAAGCTACTTCAGGAAACGCATAATTGAGAAGTGACATATAAATAACAATAGAAGCATGAACCCAATCAGTTTTGGCTTTCCCAATAAACCATAGCTTGTTTTCTATACAAATCAGCAGAGCGTTTGAATTCAATTATAAAGTTTATTCTTGGGTGCAAATTTCCTTTGCTGCTGGAGTTAGCTATACTGAATTAGTTGAAGATATAAATATAGTGCCTCATACTAAAGCCTGTTTTTTATTGTAGCAAAGATCATCAATTCTGGTTAAAGAGCGATGCTAATCAACGCCCAACCTCAACAGGGAAGAGGTGACTGTGCTACTTAAAGTTACAAGAATGTAGGGAGGAAAATTCATTTGAAAGCTCTAACGATCAAAGGGGAAATTCTGGCTCCCCTCCCTTGCACTCCTGGCAATTACCTTCTTCTTTGAAATAGGCACGTACAGAGTCTGAGGCAGTTCTCCCATGAGCATACAAACCATACACACACACAAGGTATGGTACCTTTGAACTGAAATTGCCTAAAGAGGAAGAAAGAAACAACGTTTAGGAAACTAACGACTTGCCTCCGGAATTTGTGGGTGCTCCAACACTGGAAGTTTTTAAGAAGAGATTGGATGATCATTTGTCTGAAATGGTATAGGGTTTCCTGCCTGAGCAGGGGGTTGGAGGACTACAAGACTCTTCAAGGTCCCTTCCAACACTGCTATTCTGCTTGTTTGTTTGTTTGTTTGCTGTATGAACCTTAGTGAGTGGCCATTGCCAGCCAGCTTTTCTCTAGGTACAGGCTGACAGCTAAGCATGCCTTCCTTTCAGCACCCAATCCAGCAGAAGACAGCTATTAAACCGTGAAAGGTAAAAGTCACACGGGTCTGCTTTAACTTGCTTCTGCAGGAAATCAAAACAGAACATGGGACTCCAAGAAGTAGTGGAAAACTTTCAGCACCAATTTTTCCAGAGGACACCTGCTCCCTTTTTTCAACAGACGAAATTCACTCCAGTATCCCAGAAGGTGCTATGACCCAATTTCCTTCTACTCCGTTTACTTAGCAGAAATGGAGGGTCAAACTAGATAAAACTCATGCATCCAAGCAGCACACTTTCATGGTTTTCATTATATAAGATGCAATTTATATGCTTCTGTCAAAATTTGAATAGTCTGGAGAAGATGGAGTTTTAATGCTATAGACCTCTCCCTTTCCCATGACCTTGCATGCTTGTCTGTAGCTGCCGTATCCAAGGAAGCTTCCTCTGGAACAAAATGAGGTGCTTTTTTTTTTTTTTTAATGAAAATAGCGGCTGCAGAGAGATATTTTCAGTCAGTGGCAGTGAAAGAGGCAGCCACAAACACGCACAAAGAGAAAAAGAGTATGTACTACATTTCCTCCTATTTTGTTGTTTACATAATTAATAACATTACTGCAGGTGAGATTGTCCATCTCACCTCTCAATAGGGCACTGGTACTGCTTCCAAGTGTGCGAGTCCAGTTCAGCAACTCTCCCGCACTATCAGCAATCTCTTTTCTCCACTCGACCACATATTCCTTAGGCTGAACCCAATGAGAATCCATGCTGGGCTTCCATGTCACGTTGAGACCCAAACCTTCTGATGCCACTACTGTCACCTCCTCAGGGCCTGGGAGCTCTAGGAAAAGGAAAGACAGTTCATCATTATGCAGGACATCGCCCATAATGCTGGCTATCATCCACACAAACAGCCATAAAATAATCCCATTAATTGCAAGCCTTGGATCTGAGCCGATCTCAAAAAGCTAAACATGGTTGGACCTGGTTAGTATTTGAATAGGAATCTATTAGTTGAAAAAAAAACCCTCCAAACCTTAAGAACAGGTCATGGCAAACTACTTAGTTGTCAAGAAAATTGCACAGATTTCCATGTCATCACCAGGCCTCACCAGGCCATCCTTCTCAAGTTGTTCAGTTTGTCTGAGGAACTCACCTGGCCTCTAAAAAAAAAAAAAAAAACTACTTGGTTTCACAAAATTTGAACCCTTGATGACCTCATTTACACATCAGTGTGGTTTTCTTGGCAGCAATACGAAAGTCATTTCTGCGTAACATTTTGAGAATTTCCACGCTTGCCACCGCCTTAGATTTTCTTCTGATTTCTCATCCAAATATAACCAGGACTTCTTAGTATTTAAGGGTTAGCCCAGGTACACTAGATGTTATGTAACTGGCAATTTCATCCCTAAACTTAGAGAATCAAAATAGTTGACTGCCTGGTACAAAATACATCAGGATCTTTTCTTAAGGTGGAGTACAATAAGGGAGACAGGAATGAGTATGTTGTGAGTGAAGGGAAAGGAAGCCACCACCTATTTTTCTTCAAGAATCAGATGAGAAAGCCAGAAAGTGAGGCAAGAAAGAACTGTTTCAACCCTGTAGTGTAACATGCACCTGTTTTCTCCAAGCTGAGATTAGCCCAGAGTGTCTTCTTAACAGAATTGCGGGCTGCTATTGAGACGTATTGTGCACCGATAGGGATCAAAGCCTGACAGCAATTGTAATTCATTCTGTAGAGTGTTTTGCTGTGGTCCTGGAAGATAATTTCATAATCAAGGATCTTTCCCTGGGCTGCTTCTGGATCCAGTGCCTGTAAGAAGGGAAGCAGAATTCCTCAGCAGAGTGAAGAAAAAGGTAGGAGGGAGGGAAGGAAGGAAGGAAGGAAGGAAGGAAGGAAGGAAGGAAGGAAGGAAGGAAGGAAGGAAGGAAGGGGAGGAGGAAGGGAAACAGGGCTGAAGTAACCCAATTTGTAATCACTTGTGCCCTGCTTCTCCTGAACCAGACACACCACAGGTACTGGACATGAGCAATCCCAGTCAAAACTGGATCAGCGGTAGAGTCTGTGCCATTGACAGGAGCAGTACAAAAATTAAAAGATAAAAGATTGCACTCATTTTGGCAAGAAAATGATAGGTTAAGAAAATGTGCACAAGCTGAATTTCTTCCTGGTTTCTTCCAAAAAGCAGGAAGCTGTCAAGTAAAAGGCATTTTATCAAGAGGCTTCAACGTTTTTCACTCCAACGACCAAGCAAGGGGGAAAAAAGGGGGGGTGGGCTTTTTTCCACTCTCTTCTTCCTCCCTCACCCTAACTACTTGTAACTGTCTCAGGTGAGAACCTCCTCTTAGGGCCCAGGAGAATCCAGCTGCCCAAAGAGGGAGAGGATAAAAAACCAGAAATAACTAGCCAGGCAGGAGCTGTAAAAGAGACCTGATTATTGCTAGTATTACCTAGCACAGTGGTGGCGAACCTATGGCACATGTGCCAGAGGCAGCACTCGGAGCCCTCTTTGTGGGCATGCGTGCCATTGCCCCAGCCCCGCCTGCCCCCATGGCCCCCTCCTCACCAGCAGCCTCCCTGGAGGAGAATCGCCCCTGGGTGTGGCCCACACGGAGCAGCGCAGCCAAGGCCATAGCTGGGCAGCAGGGACACGACTCCGCCCTTGCACCCCATAGCATGCAGATGATGCTGCGGGGTGTGGGCAGAGGGCGTGGCTGCCATGGTGCTGCAGGACTGCCTGGGTGATCTGTTGCGGCCCATGGAGGCAATGCATGTCCCTGCAGGTGGGTGGGACGGGGCGGGTGGGGGTGGAGCAGGCAGGGGGGAGGCAGGGGGGGAGGGGTGGTGGTTTTTGGGCACTCGGTCTCTAAAAGGTTCGCCATCACTGACCTAGCAGCTACTCTGAGGGAAAGAAACGAGAGAAGAAATGTATGCACATTAGGGCAATTTGCAGGTCAGTACAGAAAATGTTGTAGTTAATAAATGCTTTGACTAGCTGCCTACTTATATGTGAATTTCTAATCTTTTGTAACTTAATTTTACTGAAAGGGGAAAAAACTGGGGATGAGAGTTATTGCATGCTATTTAAGGCATTTTTTTAATTCACTGTCAGTGGAAGAAGACAAAAGATGCAGCTGCTTGAGTTACTCTCCATGAAAAAAAAAAAACATTTTCAGAATAGGATCAAGTTGAAGAGTTTTATATTTCAGAGAATTTGAAAGCATTCAGCTCTAGATAAAACGCAAGCTTGATAATATGGAAGTTATCATACATGTTCCAGGACAAGATTGTATTACTGTTATTTCTTGCCTTTACAGTATATTTTACAGAATGTTCAAAGCAACTTGATTGTTAGTAATAACTTTGGGTTTACACTTCTTAAATAAAATCTGGTATCCTAGGATGCACATTTTAGGTTAAATTAGATTCAAGTCTATGGAAAGTGTATTTTGAAAATCTCAGCTGCTAAGCTTATTACTGAATCATCATTCTGTTTGTTTTATTAGAATGAATCCTAAGCACATTTATCTTGCTCTTATTTGATAGCTCCTGACAGTTAATAGATGCCTCACCAGCACTTGGAGCACCTCTTTTCATGTATTAAAGTTTAAATAACTACTTCCAAATTTGCAGCAAGTGTATATTCTACCTATGTAAAACAGCTTCAGTTTTTAAGAATACATTAACTATTTAGATAGACTTCCTTTTTTATTTCCAAATCTTTTTTTTTCCAATTTTTTTCTTGTATCTCTAATCAAAGTGAGAAAAAGTATTTCTCTCTCTTCCTTGGCAAATTTGGCTTTAGCCCAGTTACTGATATCATTCTTGTAGAGATTTTGTTTCTTTAAACTATTATACTTTCACCCTTTTGGATCATTCATAGTTTGCCTCAAAATTCTTTTTATGCAGACTCTGATCTGGCTCTAAGAAGACTGATCTGCCCTATGACCCCACAGAGAGGAATGCTATATGATAAGAAACAGGAGCTAACTCACCTTCCAGAGCAAGAAACAGCTTTGATTCTGGCGGTCAGAAACACACTCTTTTTGCCACACATCAACTTGACCCAAAGGAGCTAAAGGAATCAGAAAGGAGGCAGGTAATTACTAAGAACAAACAGGATAACCACACACACCTACAGGTCTTCCCCCAAATAATACAAGTAAGAAACAACTGAAAAAAGAACACTGTGCATATGTATGGTTACAAATGAAAAAAAAAATCCTAATAAGGATAAGGACTCCAATAACAAAAAATTCCAATAAGGATAAGGATGCAGACCTGGCTGTTCAGAAAATTAGAAATCTACAGTAGACTCCTCCCAGCCATTCAGTGAATGCTAACACTTTTGATAACACTTGTCCCAAAATTATGTATTTTAATTGCACCTCTATTTGTCTCAAAATGCATTGTGTGAATGCAGGAAACAAGTGCTTGAAAAAGTATACATCCGAGAGCTTCCGGTGGGAGGCGACGGCGATGGCGGCTAGCTTTTAGCCGTCCAGCTGGGGAAGTGTCAGAGCCGCGGAGCGCAGCGCGCATCAGCTGGCCCGCGGCTCGGAAATCCCTTCCCGGGCAAAGGGAAGGGATAGAGAACGCAAGAGTAGAGGTAGAACCCCTGAACCCCCTCTGGATTTATTTCTAGAGGGGGTGAAAGGAGTGTTCCCTCGGAGCTCTTGCTGATCTCCGCCTCCCAGCTGTTTTTGCTTCCTAGGAAGCAAAAGAAACCGCCGCTTCTATCTCCGTGTTTACAGCATTTTGGTGAGTAATTTTTAAACGGACGGAGCAGTTTAAAGGATTTTTTGTTATATTTTAGGTGTTTATTTTTTTTATCTTTTGATTTTTACTATTTTTCCTCCTTTTCTTTGTTATACTAGTGAAAGGACTTAAGATGGCGTTTTGAAAGTGTCGGAGTTTTTTTTTCCTTTCTCTTTTGTTTTACTTTCCCTTTTTAAGGATTGTTTTTTGCTTTTGCTTTTGCTTTTGGCTTAGAATTTTTTCTTTTGAATTGTTTGCTCTTTTACTACTTATTCTTGGGATTTATTCTGGACTTTTAATGATTATAGTTTGTCTCTTTTTAAAAATTCTTTTTTTCTTTTTTTCCTCCTCCCTTTTTGGCTGGAGGGGAAAGGGAAGTGACAATTGTGCTTTTTAAAATGGCTTCAAAGAGGCAGCAGCCTTCCTCAATACCCAAGGTTATTTCTTCTCCTATAACTTCCACTGCACAGTTACAACAACAATCTAAACATGCACCACCGGCTCAGCCACCACCCTCCCCTCCTCTACCTGGACTTTCAGTACAAGAGGTTAGAGGCATAATGGGAGAGATTGTAGTTCAAATGAGAGAGGAAATGACTCAATTTGTTTCACAGATTAAATCAGAAATTAAATCTGATCTCAAAGAAGAGATAACGGGGATAAAGTCTAAATTGCAAGAAAATAATAATGAATTACGACAAGATATACTGGCAGCTGTTTCAGGTTTGGCTACTGTGGTGGTTAAGCTTGATGCAAGGCTTGAGGAAGTGGAAGACAAAGTTGACTTTTTAGATGATAAAATTCAAGACGTGGAAAGGAAGGTGGACTCCTCACAAGAAGATATTTTGATGTTTCAGTATAGACAGATGGAGTATGCTCTGAGGATTAGAGGCCTCAAGGAAGATATGAATCAAGATTTGATGGAGGTGGTTCTTAGTGATCTGGCGCTGGCTTTGGATATGGATAAAGGAGAATTACAGAGAGAAGTGGAAAAAATTTATAGACTCAACTCCTGGATTGCTAAGCAGAAGAATTTGCCCAGAGATGTGGTGATTTACTTTACAAAGAAGTCCCTGCGGAATGAGATTATACAAGCTTTTTACAACAAAAGATTTCAGATTGCCGCCCAAGATGTCATCATTCTAAAGGAAATCCCATCTAAAATTTTAAGAAGTAGGAAAGACTTTGCTTTTTTAACCAATGAGCTTAAAGCTAGATCGATGCCATTCAGATGGGAAATTCCGATGGGTATCGTTTTGAGCCATGCTGGGACACGTTACAGATTGAACACAGTTGACAAAGCTAGAGATTTCTATACTTCGGTCCTGAGTGCAGGCTCAACTTCATCTGGTCGGAAATCTTTGAGTGGTAAGGAACCTGAGCAGCAATCTGAGGCACTAGATTTGGTTTCCGCAGGGATGATAGAAGTGGCAAAGCAACGCCAAACGCAGGCTAAAGAGCAGAGGATGACTCGTGCAGCCTATAAGCGTAAAGAGAAAGAGCAACGTAAAAAAGAGCCGAAAGAGAATTCTCCTGGAAGTGCATCACCGCCGGTGGGAGGAGCAAGACCCAAGAGTTATGCAACACACGCAGCTCTGTCAGAGTTTGATGGTGTCTTCTCCAGGCTGCGTGCCAAGGGAGATGGCAAAGTTTTTGACCTGGAATGTTAATGGATTGAATTCTCCTCAGAAACGGAAAAAAATCTTTTATTATTTGAAACAACATACCAATGATGTTATTTGTTTACAGGAAACTCATATTCTACTTAAAGATCAGAAATATTTAGTTAATGCTCGTTTGGGATCTCATTTTATATCTCCTGCACCTGGGAAGAAAGGGGGAGTTGTTATATATGTCAAACAAAACCTGCCAGCTTGTCTGGTAGAATCAGATCCCCAGGGGAGATATGTGATGATTGAACTTGGTATTTATGGTAAGAAAGTACTTATAGTTGGACTTTATGCTCCAAATCAACAACAGGAACAATTTTATAAACAGTTACACCAAAAAATAACTTTGCTTGATTATAGATCAGTGGTATTAATGGGTGATTGGAATGGTGTCTTAGACACACAAAGGGATAAGAAAGGTTCCTCTCCTTTTCTTAAACAAGCAAGGCTACCTAAAGCCTTTTTTGATATGAAAGAAGACTGGGAATTAAGGGACTATTGGCGGGAACGTAATCAAGAGGAGAGAGACTTTACTTTTTTTTCTGACAGACACCAATCTTTTTCAAGAATTGACTTTTTCTTGATTACCACGGATTTGTATAATAAAGTAAAGAATGTAAAGATTTTTCCTAGATCACTGACGGATCATAGTCCAGTTTGGATGGAGTTGATTCAAGAGAAAGAGGAAAGAAGATCCTGGAGAGTTAATGAAAATTTGTTTAGACAAGAGAAGAATGTTCAAAAACTAAAGGAGTGTTTAAAGGACTATTTTGCTTTGAATATGTACAAGGGGACTTCAATGTCAATGGTATGGGATGCAGGTAAAGCATTTATGCGCGGTGTTTTGATAAAAATGAATAATTTTTATAAGCGAAATCAGATTCAGAAACGTAGAGAACTTGAAGATGAAATTAAACTAAAAGAAAGGGCTTTGATTCTAAATCCTTCTGATGAAAGTACTAAAGAATCTGTAAAGTTATTAAGGTCACAATTTAATATGTTGATAGCAGATCAAGCTGCAACCAATTTATTATTTATGAAACAAAATACATTTTGTAATGCTAATAAGCCGGGGAGATGGTTGGCTTATCAATTAAGAAAGAAACAGAGACAGAGAATAATAGAGAAAATAAATTATAAGGGTAAACTAGTTTCTCAGAAGGAATTAATTAAAAAATCTTTTTTGGATTATTATCAAAACCTATACAAATCTACTAATGTACAACTGTTAGATATAAATAAATATTTAGCTGAGGCAAGTTTTCCTAAACTGACTGAGGATCAGAAATATGAAATTAATGGTTTAATTACTAAGGAGGAAATTGCCTCAGCAATTCAACAATTGAAATTAGGGAAAGCACCGGGTACGGATGGGTTAACAGCTGTTTATTATAAAGCCTTAATGGAGGAGATGATTCAACCATTAAATGATCTTTTTAATGGTATCTTACAGGGTTTAGAGATTCCTCCTTCATGGCGTAGTGCTTTTATATCATTGATTCCAAAGGAGGATCAAGATCTTACTTTACCAAAAAACTATAGGCCTATATCTCTTTTAAACGTGGATTATAAGATATTTGTAAAAATTTTGGTAAATAGGCTTATGAGGGTGGTGCATCATCTTGTGCATAAAGATCAATCAGGGTTTATAACAGGAAGGTATATGAAAAACAATGTTAGACAAATTATTAACTTATTAGAATACTTAGATAAGAACAACCAAGTTCCTGCAGGGCTCATATTTTTAGATGCTGAAAAAGCATTTGACCAACTGAATTGGCATTTTATGCTAAGAGTAATGGAAGAAATGAATTTTGGTGAAAACATATTACAAGCCCTTAAGGTAATATATCAAAAACAAACAGCACAAATTATTGTTAATGGAGGTTTGTCGGAGGTTTTCACAATAGAGAAAGGTACTAGACAGGGGTGTCCTTTATCGCCATTGTTGTTTGTTTTAACATTGGAAATATTATTGATCAAAATTCGAGAGTCTCAGGAAATTAAAGGAATATATGTTAATAAAAAAGAATATAAGTTGAGAGCTTTTGCGGATGACTTGGTTGTTACTTTGTCGCAACCTGATTATTCTGTAGTAAACTTATTACAGTTGATTCACCATTATGGTTTGGTCTCGGGTTTTAAGATTAATGTAAATAAGACTAAAATTTTACCTAAAAATATGTCGAGTCAGGAGAAGCAGATTTTGGTTAACTCGACGGGTTTTGAGATTGTTAATAAGGTAAAATATTTGGGGGTGATGCTGTCTGTTTCTAATGCAAAATTATTTAAAAATAATTATGAAAGGTTGTGGGTCAGGGTACAGAAAGACTTGAAGAACTGGGAAAAGCTGCAATTATCCCTCATGGGAAGAATTGCAGTGATAAAAATGAATATTCTACCCAAGTTTCTTTTTTTGTTTCAAATGTTACCAATTTTGAAAAATGAGATTAATTTAAATGAGTGGCAGAAGGGTCTCAATAAATTTATTTGGGCAGGGAAAAAACCAAGGGTTAAGTTCAAAATTATGCAAGACTTCCGTGAGAGGGGTGGACTCAAGGTACCAAATTTGAAATTATATTATGATGCGGTGGTTTTAACATTAATTAGTGACTGGGTAAATTTGACAAACTCTGAGATACTTTATCTAGAGGGATGGGATTTACTTTATGGGTGGCATGCCTATTTAATATTTAATAAAAAAATAGATTGGGCTTTTAAATCTCATATTTTAAGAATTTCTTTACTTAGGATCTGGAGAAAATATTATAAAAGTGATTTTAAAGTACCATTATGGGCTATACCTTGGCATGCGATAGAAGGAATAAAAAGAGGGGTTAAAATGGATATGGTGTCTTATAGACAGTTACTTAAATGGGATGGACAAAACTGGCAATTAAAATCACGGGAAGAATTAGCACAAGAAAATTTTACTTATTCTTGGTTCCAATATAGGCAACTACTAGATAGATGGAAGATGGATTGTAAGGTGGGTTTTCTTAGAGAAGATGAAAATCTTATTAAGCAACTGAAGGATCAAAGACAAACCCACATTAAGAGAATTTATGGGGTTTTAGTTGAATTGGACTCAGAAACGGAACTAATTAAAGATTGTATGATTAGATGGGCGCAGAACTTTGGTGAGCCAGTTTCATTGGACACCTGGGAAACTATTTGGGTGAGAAATGTCAAATTTACTCAAGCACAGAATTTAAGGGAGAATTTTTATAAAATGTTTTATAGATGGCACCTTGATCCACAAAAAATGTCTTACATGTACCCTGACGTGCAACCTAAATGCTGGAGATGTGGTTATAAGGAGGCTTCCTATTATCATATTTGGTGGTCATGTAGAGAGATAAAAGCATTTTGGATCAAAATATGGTGGAATATCCAGAGAATTTTTAGAAGGAGGGTAAAATTTACTCCGCAATTATTTTTGTTAGGTATTGTTACAGATTGTGATACAAAGGAGGTTGTATTGATGTTAAATTTGATCACAGCCGCGAGGCTGTTAGTTGGACAATATTGGAAGAAGGAATCTTTGCCTACATTGCAGGAATGGTTTTTTAAAGTAGCTTATCTGGCGGAAATGGCAAAGATTTCGGCTTTCTTAAAGCAACAAACGCAAGAGAAGTTTTTTGCTATCTGGGACAAATGGATAAAATTTATACAATTTAGATTGGGTATACAAAAATATCATATAGCTTTTTCATAAGTTTTATTTTTATATATATTATAGATATCTTTTTTGTATATATAAATATAAAGTTTTTAATTTAATTTTTATTTTTTTTTATTGCTTAAGCCTATATTCTGCTCTGGGAAGCTCAGGGGGGGGGAAGGGAGGGTTTTTGGGAGGGGTGTGGGGTGGGGTTTTTTTTTTTATATGTATTGTTTAATTTTTTTTTTCTTCTGTATATGTTGTTTTTTGTTTTGTATTGTTCTTGTTTTTCTTGTAAAATTTATAAAACTTTTAATAAAAAAAAAAAAAAAAAAAAAGTATACATCAACCAGATTTCTGCTGAGGTCCTACTGCATTCACTTTGATTGCATGAATTTCTGCTTCATCCACAGCTGTACCTACCAGCCTCACAGGTACAGAAGGATTTGGAAGAACTCCATTCGCTCCAAAGGTCTTTTTTATTTTCTGGGATGCACCGTACCTGCACTTCATAGCAGGTGAATGGTTTCAGGTCATAGAATTCATGATTTTCTTGGTCTAGATGGGCCTCCTGCAGCTGGGAATGGAACATACTCATATTGTTGTTGTTATATTAACATTCTACCCATCCATTTTGCAAGGTCACGCAAAGGGATCCAAGTTGAAACAAAAATTTCAAAAACCCTCCATCTAAATTTCCACTAGAATTGCAGCAAGTCTAATATTACATCGCAAGAAAAGAATAGCATGCTGGATGCAGATCCATATCATGTTTACTATTAGGACCTAAAGTAATATATAACAGCTAAAGCAAGGATTTGGGAATGGTCTCCAGGAAACTGCCTTCAGTTGGTTAACGGGGAAATCCTAGACAAAGCCAGCTGTAGTTCAATGGAATGGACCTTCAGCAGAGAGAAACAATTCATACGATGGGAAAAAATGCAATACATACACAAAGCAGGTCACAAATGCAAGATAGACTCACATAGGTCCATTCATGGTCTGTGGATATCTTGTATCGAATAGCATAAGTGAGAGGTTGGTCACTATGCAATTCAGACCAGTGAGGGTTTTTCCATGTCACTATGGCTTCAGAGCAATCCTGTTCTACGTGATCCAATTCAGGAGGACAAGGCTTCACTGAAACATGAGGGAAGAGTTTAATCATATATCGTATCACTCACTGTTACTCCTAACTGCCACACCTAGTGATAAAAGCATTGATCTAGACACAGACATTGCTCTAAGCCAAAATATGGATGGTTTATTTTTAACTAAGCAGTGTGTGAAACTGTGGACAGAATAGTGATTTGTGTAGGGCTGTTTTGGCATATTCAACAAACCTTGGTTAGAAAATCTTGGCTTTGCACAATACATCTCTCTCATCCTGTCAATGGTTTATTGAATAAGCCACAACTGACTGGGTTTTCATATTATCCTAAATCATAAGCAAGCCAAGCATGTCATAGCTTTTCAAAATGTGTGCATTTAGTCAAGATATCTTTAGTCTAAAGCAGTGGTTCTCAACCTGTGGGTCGGGATCCCATTTGGGGTCGAACGACCATTTCACAGGGATTGCCAAACAATGCAGTCCGCCATTTTTTTCCCCTTTTCCTTAGCTGTGCTACTCCCTTTTATTCTATTGGGGGTCGCAGCATTAAAAAGGTTGAAACCACTGGCCTAAAGGTATCTGTCCTACTGTAAATCCAATCCTTCTTATACTTGGGACCCAGTCTTGAGTTTCCAGAGTCATACAGAAGTCTGCTATCTGAAATGCCCCATGCAATTCCTCAGGAGGTAGAAAATTCAGAATGTTAGTCTATAGACCAGTGGTGGCAAACCTATGGCATGGGTGCCAGAGGCAGCACTCAGAGCCCTCTCTGTGGGTACGCATGCAGTCGCCCCAGTCCTAGGCCTTCAGCTGGGTTTTAAAAAGCCTTTTCGCTTTAGGCCTCCGCCGCCGTGTGCAAAAAAAAAAAGTTCAATCAGTCAATTTCAACTTCTCGCGGGAAAAAAAAAAGATCTTGCAAAGTTGGAATTGATTGAACTTTTTAGTCCCACCCAGTCTGCCGTTACCACAGCCACGCCCAGCCAATGGGCCACGCCCAGCCAATGGGCCACACCCACCCGGCACTCAATGATGCATAAGTGCGTTTTGGGTTGCAGTTTGGGCACTCAGTCTCTAAAAGGTTTGCCATCACTGCTATAGACCCAACTGGCTGCTGTGAGAGGACTATAGAGATGAGCATGAGCATCAGAGTCAATACAAACAAGGAGAGTGACAAAAGCCAAAAGGGGCCAACACTTGGCCTGCACAAGTAGGCAAGAAAAGCAAGGCACTTTTTTGAAGCAAAAAATGATCGTTGTTTCCCAGATTCATTCTCAGAGCATTCTGGCTCTCTAATTTAGTTTCTCTAACCTATTTCATCCAGGCTGAAGGTTAATTTCTTGAAGACAGCAATCCCGGCTGCACTGTGAACTTCCATCCAGACACTGTATTTGTCTCCATGTGTCAGGTTTCTTCGTTCAATAAGCAGCCAGTTCTGTCCCGTCTGGGCTATCACTAAGTGCACTTGGCCAAGATGTCTTCAGAAAAACAAAGATATACAGATATATCTAACAATAGTTTATATAAATGGAAACTAAACCTTTGCTATTTCCTATCAATCCAGCTGTCCTGCCCAAGCAGGCATCTTTCAAGAGTTGCAAATACAGGCACATAGGTACCCACAAAACTGTTTGTCTAGTCCCCTTTAAACCCTTTTTTAATTATTCTTCTTGACTTCCAACTGTCTCTGCCTTTTAATCTTTGCAAAACTGAAGATTTTGCCTGGTGGCAGCAATTACAAAAGAGATTCTATATAGAACTTTTAATTTTTAAAGAAAGAAAAGCCTAAGCCAGCTAAATGTTAAAAACAAGTCATTTAAAGCAGTCATAATTTAGAAATGATACTTCTTTCTTTCCTGTGCACTAAACATCTATAAAAAGTTTAAACTCTATAGTCAAGGTTCTTATGTTCTCTGGGCTTTAATGAAAAGACTTCTGACACTTGCTGTTTATGATGGTAGCTCCTATGTGCTTTTCTGAAAATCTCTCTCAGCGCTCCCAATCCACTCAGTTCAACTGACAAAGAGAACTCTTTCATTATTTTCCTTAATATTCTACACTTTTCTAATATTGGCCCATTTGGCTAAAATCTTCATTCATGAAACTATAAAATCCTAATAGGTTATTCCTTTACTCTCTGTAATTCCCTATACTTCCTAAATAAAGTCATTTAGCCAATAGATTACACTGGCCAACATAAGAGGTCCTAGTTGAAAAAGGCAATGATTTATTAATTTGGATATTTGCACTATAAGTCAATATAAGGGCTCACTAACAGCAGCATTTTGCTAAATTTTAGGCTCTGGTAGTGAAGGATATAGGTGGCGTTAGCATTTTGAGATTCCCAGGTCAACCAGCTGCAGTTCACAAAGTTGCTGAAAAATGGTTGGAAGCACTGCAGGCCCATAGTGGCATCTGGGTCACCTACAAAAAAAAAATAAATCACAAATCAGCATTCCAAATTACTGCAGTTGAAGACACATTTCATGGGAAGGGATTATAGCTACATGGAAGTTAGGATCCTCCTAACCCAGGGGTAGGCAACCCAAAACACTCAAAGAGCCACTTGGACCCGTTTCCCACCAAAAACAAAACACTGGGAGCCGCAAAACCCTTTTGATATCTAAAATGAAGATAACACTGCATATATCCTTTTTTACCTTTATTATAGGTGTGTGTATGTGTGTGTGTGTGTGTATGTGTATATGTGTGTATACACACACACACACACACAGACACACAAACACATATACACATTAAAAATAAAAGTAAAAATATGACTCTTGGGAATATCCATACTATTAAAACAATGATCACCAAAAGAATGCTTTAAGAGAATAAAATTACATACACACACAGGTAAAAAAAGGATATATGCAGTGTTATCTTCATTTTAGATGTCAAAAGGGTCTCTCTCTCCCTCCCTCTCTATCTGCCCTTGGTCTGCCACTCCTCTTCCCCCACTCTCTCTCTCTCTCTCTCTCTCTCTCTCTTTCTCTCTCTCTCTTTCTCCCCCCCCCCATCTGCTGCTCACCTGGCAAGCTTCAAGCTGTTGTCCAACAACCTCCGGGGTAGGCAACCTCGTCTCTTTTATGACTCATGGACTTCAACTCCCAGAATTCCTGAGTCAGCCTAACTGGGCTAGCTAGCTCTCTCCTGCCCTTCCTGCTTCCTGCTTCCTTCAGAGACGCAGCAGAGGGAGGAGCTCCGCTCAGAAAGCTTTTCAGCTCCTCGGAGAACACTGTGAGTGCACTCTGTTTTACACATACACACACACACACACACACACACTCACCCAGACACACACAGAGAGAGAGAGAGAGAGAGAGAAGCAGGGAAGTGCAATTGCCTCTCTCTGTCTCTGTCTCTCTCTGCAAAGGCAGAGGAGGCTGGGAGCCACAAGGGAAGGCTCAAAGAGCCGCATGCGGCTCCGGAGCCACAGGTTGCCGACCTGTGTCCTAACCAAACTTTTCCTAACTCTTATCTTTGTGTTAGAACAGCAACTTGAAAAATCCCCAGAGAGAATCCTATAATCCTAATGTAGCTAGAAGAAAGACTTGGGAGAAGAGATCCCAGAAGAGGATGCAATAGGTTGGAAACAGTGTGGAGTTCAGTCCTGACCTGCCACTGTTTCAACAGTTGCCTGCCCTAGAAATCATTATACCAATTAGCCACCAGCAACTGAGGGCCAATGGAAAGATGTCTCTAGGAATCTCCTTAGAGACACTCCAACAGCAACAAATAAAACAGTTCAATACTATTTATAATCAAAGCCATAAGGAAAAAAAATCCAGCATGCCTATAATAAAAAATGTAGGAAGAGCAAGTACCATCCCTATTCTCCTTTGAGAATAAATAGCTAAGTAGACCTGCAGTTAGAACAAGCTGGCATTTTGGGCTACCCCAGAAAATAAATTGTGCATACAGGCTGAGAAAGCTGAAGACCTGGTTGAATTGAGGCTGCTCTCACCTGATAATAAGTTTCCACTGCTGTAGCAAGAGTGCACAAACCTGTGCTGTATACATCTATAGCAGTGATGGCGAACCTTTTAGAGGTTCGTTTGTGTGACGGCGACCCCTGTCACACAAACGTGCCGCGCATGCGCGGCACCCCGCCATGCGTGGCGGCACCCCCATGCGCGGCGCGCATGCGCAGCGGTGCCCCATGCGTGGCGTGCATGCGCGGCGGCGCCCCCATGCGCGGCGCGCATGCGCAGCGGCACCCCCCCGAGGGGGAAAAATGGCGGATCGCCTTGTTTGGCGACCCCCGAGAAATGGTCGATCGACCCCAAATGGGGTCGCGACCCATAGGTTGAGAACCGCTGTTTTAGAGACTGAGTGCTCAAAAACTGCCCCCCCACTCTACCCCCCCTGCCCCACTCCCGCTCTGCCCCCCATCCCCTGCTCCGCCTGCCCACAGGACCATTCACTGCCTCCAGGGCCTGCCGCAGATCACCCAGGCAGCCCAGCAGCGCTTTGGCAGCCACATCCTCTGCCTGCGCCCTGCAGCATCAACTGCATGATGGGGCGTGAGGGCAGAGTCTTGTCTATGCTGCCTGGCTGCCATGTCCTTGGCTGCGCTGCTCTGTGTGGGCTACACGCAGGGGCGACTCTTTCAGGGGGGCTGCTGGAGAGGAGGGGTCATGGGGGGAGGCAAGGCTGGGCAATGGCACATGTGCCCACAGAGAGAGCTCCGGGTGCCGCCTCTGGCACCCGTGCCATAGGTTTGCCACCACTGATCTATAGAGTGATCCAGAGATAATGAATCTACATGGATTGAATGTTCTAAATACAACTGAGTTGCATTTGAATCTGATGGGATCTTATAATGAGCAATAGAACTAAATGGTCCCAAATTGTTGAGAGTCCCTGTTACCATTTATCTGTTTTGTTACCTAGAAATATCAATTTTAAACTTAATGAATGTTCATGTGTGCTGTTTGTCATCCAACTACTAGGATTATGATTACCGCCATTCAAAATAGATGCAGGAATTACACAGTCAAGAACTGCAAATGAGATTGATTATGTAACAAACAGTAGAAGAAGCTCATCATATGCAAACTACCATCACAGGAAGATATTAAGGTATTAAATGTTTAAGGCTATGCCATATTTACTATCAGGAAGGGAATTGCTGCAGCACATCACAAAGGATGGGACAAGAATGTGTATTCCTTTTTTTTTTTTTAAGAATAGCATTAAGCCTATTTCGAGTTTGCACAACACTAAATATAATGCAAATATGTCCTTCACCTTCAAATTCTAAAAAATTATGTCATTTTGCTACCAATTTTTAGTTGTCAGAAGGAGCGGGCCTCTGGAGGCCAAGGTTGGCCATTATTGTTCAATCCCTTTCAGGGTATTATTGAAAATAAAAAATAATGTGTTTATTTGAAGAACATTTAAAACAAGTTCAGCTCAAACTGACATCTGGGATTAATACAATTAGAACATACACTTTGCTAATTCCTGCTGTCTCTACTTTTTCCCCCAATTGTCAACAGACCAAATTTCCTTTCCCCTACCTTCAACCCTAAGACATAATTCTTTATTCTCCAGGTTATCTTTTCCAGCTATTTCAAACATAAGCCCCCAATATAGTTTTGCCATCACTCAATCAGCAAGCAAGATAAAGGTCAATGTGTCGAAAATGTTTCGCCTGCTTCACTTCTTCTACTTTGGAGGCCTGTTTGGGGTTCTTGACAGATTTCCTGTGTGGGTTTTAAAGAGCAGGGGGCAAGAAGGTGACAGTAGCAGCAGCAGTCATCACTAAGTGCAAGTCTTCACACATTTGACCGTCCTTCTTGTTGTCTTGAAGTTATGCAAACGTGTCTGGCCTGCCTGCCTCTCCTTAGCAAACAGAGATCTGAAGATATGATAGTTCCACAGATCTATTAAGGTCACAAGGAACTGAATATATATTGTCTTACCACTGGAGCCCTAAATGGCTGCCATTTCAGGTCCCTTTAAACTGGATCCACAACTTACAACAAATCTGAGACATGGTGCCTAAATTAAAGAGATCTGAAATGGGATATGGATTTAAACCCTCAGTTAAAGAGAGGCATAGAAAAGTTAAAAATGGTTCAGCTCACATGTTCATTAACTGGAATTGACATCTAAGCATATTGGCTTTCCCTCGAGAGCACAGATGAAGTTTTTAGGAAACAGATCTACTGAAGCAAAGCAATAATATTTCTCCTTTACCTTTTTTCAGCATAGAGACCTTGAAGGCTAGGAGTAGCAACCCTGCAGCATCCCATCTGTTTCTCATGATGCTAACTCAAGTAGTGATATGATGGAGGAGCACCTGGAGAAATGCTCAGCCTCTGTAACATTAAAAGAAAATTATTCCATCTTCAAGTTATTAACAGAGCAGAAAATAAAACATTTTCAAACTCAAAGAGTTTGAGGGTTGAATAAGGGTTGGGAAGGAAGCAAGGATTGGAAAATTGTTGTGTTGAAAATTGAAACTTATTGTTGGCAATATGCTACAAGGACCGAATAACCATATTGCTCAAAAGATAAGCCACAGCAATGGATGAAGGGGGAAATAAGAACTGTTCCCTAAAATTTCACATATGCTGGGTATGTTTTATAATCAATTATCAATGGGCTCACTGTTTTATCCAATCTACTGCAATTTGAATAAAGTACAATAGACTAAGTTCTTATATTAGGTTGGTTTACAAATCCTAATAGCATAGTTTGTGATTCCAACTAAGTCGAATCAAAGCAAATAATGTGAAGTATTAACCCAACACACTGTAGATTATCAGCAAAATACAGGGAGCAGCTGTGGATTAGTTAGTTATACATGGAGTAGATACATAAAATTTCCCCAGGTCATTTCTCTGACAGTGATTATGTTCGGACACCATAGTATCTGCCTTATTCACATATTAAATGTAGTTGTTTTCATCATATTATGTAAGCTAGTCATTTTAAAACTGATTTATAATTTAGCATGTTGCATGAAGCACTTCATGGAGTTTTTGCAATGCTACTTGCATACAGATATATTTAATCAATTTAGAAACTACTCAACTTCTAACCCTACACTGAAAATGTAATGAAAAGAGTTCATAAGCAGCCCAAAGACACATAAGCAAACAAAACAAAACCCCTATTCAATAGGGGCTCAACATTAATCTGCCCCATACCCTGGGAGAACAGATAGGTCTTCAGTAGCTTCCTGAATGTCATAGGATGGGAACATAATCTAGATCTGGATTTGGAGAAACTGGTTGATAGGATGTATTCCTTATGTTCGATGTGCCCAAGATCACATGGTAACGTTGTTGTTAATTGCGAAGTCGTGTCCGACCCATAGACAATGTTCCTCCAGGTCTTCCTGTCCTCACATGGTAACTTACAATGCTAATAAAAAAAACAGGAGAAAGAGTGCCAGGAATCTGTTTCGGGATGGGACATGGACTTTTCCAGGACCAAATCAGAGTGACTGAGGATCTCTTCTAGCAGACAGGCAAGACAGACAATTGGCGGATGTGACAACCTCGGATCTATACTGTCTTCCGAAGGAATCAGGTAGCGCGACCTTCCCTATTGCCTGTGCTGTATAACGGTATTCGAAGCAGCCCCTACAGATATCCTGAGGCAGTGCCACAACTCTCAGTTCATCTGGCTCCAATGTTTCATGCTAACTGCTAATTTCTATAAATGCCTTCCAGCTAGAAAAATCAACGTCCCGACCGGAGATCGAATACGATATACGAATACGGAGTGGAGGTCCCACAATGACCCTCCCCACCCCCACACCATTCCGTGTGTGATAATATTGGGAATTCATAGAGATTTCTGGGACCAGATAAGTCGCCTGTTTAAATTGCTCTTCGGCTCCCACTTGAACTAAATAACTCCAAACAGTCCCCTTCCACTTTATATGAGCCATTCATCGGAAGCTAATTTTAATCGGAAAAGACTCGCAGAAGGAAAGTTCCCAATTGCTTGAGAAGATCCGAGGAAAGCATGCAGAAAATCCCAAGCAATTTTTCCTCGAAAGGAGAAGGAGCTTTCCCCCTTAGCTCACTTACCACCATCAGCTGCCAGCGCTCCCCATCCTGAATATTTCCCAGCACCGCAAAGAAAAGACTGTCGCGAGTTGACTCAACGCTTCCCGGACGGCGCCGCGCCAGGCGCGTGAAGCTACCCTAGTCGCTCCAGGGCCCCGAACGCCGCGCGCCGCGCTTGCTCCGCCCTCGGCCCAGCCGCTGTGGAGGGGAGGCGGATAGAGGGGCGACCGCTGCTCGCAGATTATTTCTATTTCCTCTTCTGATGCAGACCGTGTTTATCACAAAGGGTTGAGACGAAAGAGGAAGCCGCCTGCTTCCTTCCTGCATGCCGCGCTCTCCAAAGACCAAAAGAGGAACGTAAGGCCGGCGTAAAAGAGGAACTTGGGCGGCTAATGAGAAGCAGCACAGGCAGCGGGATTTACTCACGCCCTCGGGCTTTAGGCTCGGGATAATAATAATAACAATAACGAGAAAGAACTGGAAAAGATAACAAAATACAAAGACCTACAAATAGAAATAGAAAGACTGTGGCAAAAACAAGCAAGGGTAGTACCAATAGTAATAGGCGCCTTGAGTACAATCCCAAAACAACTGGAGCACCACTTGAACACCATTGGCATTGACAAATTCGCTATTAGTCAATTGCAAAAGGCCTTACTAGGAACTGCTTCCATCCTGCAACGATATCTGTAATACCATCAAACATCCATATCTGCCTATCCCAGGTCCTGGGTAAAGACTCGATAGGTAGACAAAATGCCAAATCCAGTCTGAACATCTGGCTGACTGTGTAATGATCCATAATAATAATATAGTTGGAAGGGATCTTGGAGGTCATTGAGTCCAACCCCCTGCTCAGGCAGGAAACCCTATACTATTTCAGACAAATGGCTGTCCAGTCTCTTCTTAAAAACTTCCAGTGCTGGAGCATTCACAGCTTCTGGAGGTAGGTTGTGCCACTGATTAATTGTTCTAACTGTCAGGAAATTTCTCCTTAGTTCTAGGTTGCTTCTCTCTTTGGTTAGTTTCCATCCGTTGCTTCTTGTCCTGCCTTCAAGCACTTTGGAAAATAACTTGACTCCCTCTTCTTTGTGGCAGCCCCTGAGATACTGGAACACTGTTATCATGTCTCCCCTCATCCTTCTCTTCGTTAAACTAGACATACCCAATTCCAGCAACCATTCCTTATATGTTTTAGCCTCCAGTCCCCTAATCATCTTGGTTGTTCTTCTCTGTACTCTTTTTAGAGTCTCAACATCTTTTTTACATTGTGGTGACCAAAACTGGATGCAGTATTCCAAGTGTGGCTTTACCAAGGCATTGTAAAGTGGTATTAATACTTCATGTCACTGTCCTGCTGGAGGCCACAGGACAGATAGAATAGAGCTGGAAGGGACCTTGGAGGTCTTCTAGTCCAGCCTCCCGCTCAAGCAGGAGAACCTATACCATCTCAGACAAGTGACTGTCAGCCTCTTCTTAAAAACCTCCAATGATGGAACGCCCACGTTTTTTGAGGGCAAGCAGGTTAATTGTCCTCACTGTTAGGAAGTTTCTCCTCAGTTCCAGGTTGCTTCTCTCTTTGGTCAGTTTCCAACCATTGTTTCTTGTCCTGCCCTCTGTGCTTTGGAGAATAGTTTGATGCCCTCTTCTTTGTGGCAGCCCCTCAGATACTGGAATACTGCTATCATGTCATCCCTGTTTCTTTTTTTTTTTAGACTGGCCAAACCCAAGTCCTGCAGCCATTCTTCATATGTTTTAGTCTCCAGGCCTTTGATTATCTTAGTTGCTCTTCTCTGAACTTTTTCCAAAGTCTCAATATCTTTTTTGTAGTATGGTGACCAAAATTGGCTGCAGTATTCCAGGTGTGGTCTTACTAGGGTTTCATAAAGCGGTACTAATACGTCACGTGATCTTGATTCTATGCCTCTGTTTATACAACCCAGGATAATATTAGCTTTTTTGGCTGCTACTGCACATTGCTGGCTCATAGTCAAGTGATCGTTCACTAGGACTCCAAGGTCCCTCTCACAGTTACTATTTTTGAGCCATGTCTGCCTAATCTGTACTTATACCTTTGATTTTTCCTGCCTAAATGTGAGATCTCACTTTTCTCCACATTAAAATTCATTTTGTTGGATAGGACCCATTGATGTAAGAAATAAACGGCCTGCCCTGTGTTTGCTGGATTTAATGCTCTGGACTTGATATCCCAATAGGGCTGGGAGATGTATTTATGTCCATTAGCTGCAATTAAACCAATTCCTCCCAATATTTGGATGCATCAAAAAGGATTTTGCATAGGAGCGTATCTGCTGCATCTATGCATGAGTTAATGTACTTTGCTTATTTTTCTCTACTTGGTTGCAAGAATAAATTGGGTCTTCCATTTTTAACTAAAAAAAATTGTTATTGGAAGAGTAGCTTCCATTTGAGTCAGGTTTTTTATAACATGCTAAACTAAAAAGCTAGATTTATAAACATATACCATTCCCAGGTCTAATGACATACAATTCATTATCTGTTAGCTTTAGTTGTTAGTTCTCTAGCTTTCCCCCACACACACACAAAGTTTGGTATACGTGAATTGAATCATAGAAGCATAAGACTGGGAGGGACCTTAAAGGTATTCCGGTCACAACCCCCTGCCCAGGGCAGGTCACCTAATATCATCCTGAACAAAAATGATTGTATAATCTCTTCTTGAAAACCTCCACCAATGGAGCATCCACAGCTCCCGGAAGCAAGTTCTGCCATTGATTAGTTATTCTGTCAGGAAATTCCTCCATAGTTCCAGGTAGGATCACCTTCTGATGAACTTTGGCCCATTGCTTCTTGTCCTATTTTGGAAAATAAGTAGACCTCTTCTTTGTGACAGCCCCTCAAGTACTGGAAGACAGTTATATCTCACCTAATTCTTCTCTTTGTTATACCTAATTCCCTTAACTGCTCATCCTATGATTTGGCCTCCAGACCCCTTATCATCTCTGTTGCTCTTCTCTGCACTTTCTAGGATGTCAGCATTTTTTCTGTATTGTGGTAACCAGAATTGGACACAGTATTCCAAGTGTGACCTCACTAGTGCAGTATAAAGCAGTACTGTCACTTCTCATGGTCATGATGTTTCTGTTGATGCAGCTTAGGATTGCATTGTCGTTTTTGGCAGCCTCAGCACACTGCTGGCTCATACTTAAGTGGTTGTCCACCAGGACACCTAGATCCCTCTCACAATTACTGCTGTTGAGCCAGATACTGCCTATTCTATAATGTGCATTTGGTTTTTCTGCCTAAGTACAGATTCTTACTTTTCTCACCACTGAACTACATTGCATTGGATAGGGTCCAATGCTCAAGTTTGTTAGGATCCTGCTGAATCTTGAATCTATCTTGCTAAATGTTAGCAATTCTCCCCAGCTTGGTGCTATCTGCAAATTTGATGAGTTCCTCTTCTATCCCCCTCATCTAGATCGTTTATGAAGTTGTTGAAGAGTACTGGGCCTAAGACAGAATCTTGAGTTACTTCACTGCATTCTTCCCTCCACATATATTGAAGACTACACACTGAATGTGGTTGGTCAGTTAACTGTGAATCCATCTGGTGATGCTACTGTCTATCCCACATGATTCTATCTTCCCAAGAAATAGGCTGTGATCTACTTTGTCAAATGCCTTACTGAAGTCCAAATATACCATATCCACTGCCTTTCCCTGGTCCGCTAATTTAGTTACTTTATCAAAGAAGGTAATAAGGCTTGTCTGGCATTGGCATTGGTCTGATAGTTTTGAACTAGCTGTTTGATTTGTGGCCATGATTACACTTTATGACAGTGAACACTGTAAATAGCTAATATTCCCCTGGCACTTAATATGTATGCCAGAGAATGAGTGCAGGTGACTGTGGTTAGCATATGTCTTTGCTCAGCCTAGTGGCAGTATCTAAGCCTCGCTGTTCTCAAAAACTTTTTGTGTTAAATTATTTTGGGAGAAAACCATCAAGGAAGCACTGTAAAAGAAAATCCCAGAAGAAAACAACCCAAGCAAAACAGTATGTACTTTCATTTGGAAGCCCATTGATCCTGCTATTTTATACCCTCTGTTAACTTTGAAGTAAGTAAAAAGGCCTTGTGAGCCCATGGCTAGCAGGCTTTTGTTTTGCTTTTGTGAAATTTAAATATTAAAGTTAGGGGCAAAATAGACGAGGGATTCCTGTGTACAGAATTTGAGGTCTTGCAGATGTAAATAATATAAATTTATATATAAGTTTATTGGGTATATTTAATATCAATTGTCACAATAAGGGGTGCGTACATATATGTTAAATGTTACACATATATAATACAAAGTGGGGCATGGGGTGTAAGGCAAAGATTAGGAATGGGAAAGTGTTGGGGACAAGAAAGATACCTACGCTTTTAGCTACCTAGCTATATTTTACTGTTGCTTTACAACTATTGATAATAATAAATACTTTTTTTCATCTGCAGAATCTAAGTAGTTTCAGGTTTGTGCCCATCTGGATTTTCACAGGTGCACAAACATTTTATACAGGGAAAATGTGAAGTTCTCTCTGGCGATTGGCCATTTCCTTCCCACACTGTGTGCATCCCTTTGATCTGTCGGACCACCACTCTCTTAATTCTGGCTAATAATAGCATGAATTTTAGATTAATGGGAAGATTAATGGGAATGTAGATTAATGGGAAAGCTGGCATATACAATTCAGTATACCTCAACTTCTGCCTAGTTGAAGAAGAAAATACAATGTTAATATGATTTGGATTATGTCAGATTGTTCCAGCTAAAAATTTCTTAAAGGTTTGATATTATGGCAGATTGTTCCAGGTAAAATTGCACACAACCACTCTGAGAAATGTCACTGGCTTCTCCCTAAACTTTTCTAGCTCTTCTCAACATTTTTTAGGCAGTTTGCATGAGGATAAACTTGTCCAGGATAAACTTCAACATTTTAGGCAAACATCTTGTAGTGTTTATAATTTGAGAATTACTGATGTCATCAAAATAAAACAAATCTGAGTTGAGTGACCCTATTAAACCAAACTGTTCTGAGTCAACATAGTGCATCTCATTATTTTGTTTCATTTCATTTTTTTTTCTTGTTAGCTTTGTTTTATAGTCATTTGAATCTCAGAGCAGCAGGCTTAGTTCCTCTCTAAGGGGACAAATGAATACACCATGGAAGTGCCACCACCCTGAAAGCTGTTGGTTTGTGAGACCAACTTGAATACCAACCCAAGAATTTTTTTATTCATTAAATTTAATGCTGGTCTGTGATCATAATAAAAATGGATTGATTATTAAATTTGCTTGCTGCCCTTTTCACCATGAGTTGATTTGTAAATTATCAAATGTGAGAGAACGTTTGTGACCCTCACCAACAATCAGAAAGCCATTGCATCCTTACTTTTCTACGAGACATTCTCTGCTCCTGCCACGAACCTTCCTTGATGCCCAGTCATTCCAGGAGATCTAATAAT